CTTATGTGAATAGCTGAGAGTGTAGACATTTTTTCCTTCCTTCACAGATGCCCTCCAGCATATATATATACACAGAACAGCCAATGGTTCATATGTTTGCAAGAGCAAAAATGAAAACAAACAACAAAAAGGACAAAGAAGCGTCATTGTTCCAAAGTTAAAATTTCACTAAATGCTCATGGAAGATAAGGTAGTAGCATTTATCAACACTGAGCAACTAGAACACCATATTTATGGATAAAAGCATTTCAAATAGTCCTTTTCATATTCCTCTTTCCCACATTACTGCTTGTTAAAATGTACTTAATGACTTCTCTTTCCCCATTTTGTCAGTTCTACACATACAGATTTGGTTCTCCTCTACTCCACCTAAAAGAATTTAATCTGCCATTTCAGAGCACGCTGTGTCACTAAATTGCAGGTTATGACCTTATTAATGTGGCTCAGCAGGTAGAAAATAAACGTACATGGAGAAGAACCCATTTGCAAAACAGAAGGAAGGAATCATCATACAAAGTGCAGGAGGACAACAGTAACAGACTTTTCCTGGAAATTACCTTCAAAGGGACAAAGTATTGTTAACCTTGTTCAAGTATCCCACTGTAAGAACACTCTAGTCCAGAGAAAGAAAATTATATACTAATGCAAAACTATCTCCATTAATAAGTGTTTTCACCAAAACACTTTCCTGCATGATGATGACTACAAGACTACTCCATCATACAGAGCTAACACTGATGGTACTTAAACTTTAAGTCTGCTTTTACCCATCACTTTGTCTTCAGCAATAGCTGATAGCAGTAGAGAACAGGAACACAATTAGGATATAGCCTTAATTCTCTACAAACACGTTGCTTACAATTCCTGAGTGAAAGATAGTGTCTTTGCATTCAACTCAGTGAATTCTTTATTTCATCAAGCAGAGCCATGAAAGAAGTAAAGGCTATTCCTATACCTACAAGTGGCAATGCTCTGAGGTATCTGTTCTTTGCTGGTTTACATACCAAGTTCATCTTCTTTAAGTCCTTGAATGGATAGAGTTGCAGGTTGATGTGCTTTATGTATCCCTTGCTTTCTATACGGGAAGTTAAAGCCAGACCTATTTGAGGCACAAATCTTTTCTAGAATCCTTGAGATTCCCTTATGGCATACTTGTAAAAGCTTCTGTATTGCAGGAACCAGGAGCAGTAGAGCACGAGCTGAAAGCATTAAGCTCAAGGACAGCGTTGGAATGTAGAGGCACTATCAATAGCAGCCAGAAGAAGCAGAGCAACAGATACATGTTTAGAGCATAACTAAAGCAAGCTAAGCAAACCCTACATCTTCCTACTTTCTGGATGAAAAGGTTAAATTCCTGCTACTTTCTAAAGAAATACCGAACTACGACATGAAAGGTAGGTGGCAAATAGCAGCATGTATTGCTTGTCAGCCACTAAAGATCCTAATGGAAAGGGTCCTACATATCTCTCCAGAACATCATGTCTATACAAAAAAAAAAAAAAAGATTAGTCTTTTCCACTGTCTGCAGCTCATGGACACCGTAGTCACTGTTCTGGCATTTTTATTTATTGGAAACGTATGCTTATCTTACTCTAGTGGTAAAAAAACTAATCTCCTAACTCACAGCTTAATCCTTTTTGCAATCTGAGAGATACCTAGGACAGGAAGAGAAATAAACCCAGTACAGTCGGTTAATTGCTCAGTGACAGATAATCTTTTCTCCTCTCTGTTTTCCTCCTCTTCTATAAAAAGAATAGCAAATGTAAATAAAAGTCTTTCATCTAAAATGCTGGAAAAAGTATGTCAAGACAACAGCATAATTAAAGTCAGGCACAGCCATATACAAAGCTTCATTTGCCATATACAGAAATAACAGCTCACTTGCCACCCAAAGCCTGGCAAATTTCTGAGCTTCAGTACTCAAGCAGATAGTATAGATTCTGTTTCTTTCCTCTGCTATATTTCATCCCTTCATGTCTGTCACAAGTGGTCTCTTAATTCATGGGTCGTTTCGAAAGGACAATTTCCTTCCATTAGCACTGCAGCCAGCTGCAGTTAAACTGGCTGAAAAATTATAAAGAAATGCCATTCTAGCAGGTAGTAGTATGTTTACGAAGAACACAGATTCATATCTTGTAGGCGACGACATGGTTATGTTATAGATGGTTACAGTCTCATCAGTCACAAAACCTCTTAAATCACCCAACAATGACAGATGCACTTATAATCAGCTATAGCACAAATGACTTGTGTCTGTGACATGCTTCTAAACAGCCCCTCATTATTCATCAGCCTTTGGAGAACACACTCTCCACAGGAGGCGAGAGTGGTATTTCTTTGTCACGTACTCAAGGCAGAGAATCCTCTTCAGTGGTGAGAACACGCAGAATATCTGTCTTTTTCCTAAGAAACAGAACTCTTGACATCAGAAATCAAACCAGACACGAGATCATGATTTCTTCTATTCCTTAGCATCAAAGCTAGAGGGAAGAAATAAATTGAAGTATAAGATACATTTCTGCCTTTCACACAATTCAATTTTTCTACCCTTTTGAAGTAAGCAAGGAGATGTAAATTAACACATCACTTAAGCAGCCAGGAGGTGCAACAGCTAATAACCTCTCTGTCAGGTAAGTTAAATAATAAGACATGCCCATTCAGTCATTCCTTTCCATCACACTAGGAACAGAGAAGCTATCAGGGGATCTTGATAAGGTTATTTATTAATGATCCAAATATATATCTGCACAGTGAGCAGGGATCTAACTGCAGAGTCAGTCTCAGGATAGAGCACAGTGTAACCACCTACAGCTGACATAAGGCAGCAGGACTCAGTTAAGTAAATGAAGCATGCTGGTGAGTGACAGAGCAGCCACAAGAACCAAAGAGCCAATCGAGAATAATAATGGAGCACTGCAGAGAAACACGGGTGGGTTTTAGCCATCCTGGTTCTCCTCTGACATCTCTTAGAGAAAAGTCTTTCTCCAGGGACTCTGGATGATTGGCCATGAGGCTGTAAACAAGTTCTGGCAAGTGACAAATGCCAAGTAAAACTACAGCTGATGAGTTCAAAACAAGCCAAGCAGTTCCTCAAATCCACAGTATTCTTTGCTCCAAGATGGAACAAGTGCTAAAAGTTTTAACAACACTGCTGAAGATACTAAGGAAGTTAGTTCATACCAGTAAAGTTTCATAGTGTTCAATATTATTTCTTGAAACTATTGAAAAATGAAACAAAATTTGCATACCAAATAAAAATACACTGATATAATAATAATAAAATATTCAGATAGATCTTAAACCAAAGGGTGAGGAAGGACCTGGAATTTCAACACTATGAACGAAGGCTGGAAGAATACAGGAAACTGTCAGATATGAAAATCCTGTTTGTATATTCTCTCTCTTAGATTGCTTTTTGGCAACAGGATACTAGGTTAGAGAAAATATAGCTTTTCTTATGTCATTTTCTGATATTAAGGAAGCCCGAAGTCCAGTAAAGTGCTCTACACTTACTAGATGTAGGTTTGCTACACAGCCAAACTCCCAGATGCTGGTATATCCTTCAGTGACATCTGCCCCTTTCAAACATGGTAAAATTCAAACTTCACAGAAATTAGTTATGAAACAGGAAACAGCATAAGCTCATTGGCAAGATTTTGTGCCCAAGTTCACACATCACATCTAGCGTTACTTCCTCCACTCTGATGTGGCTGTTCTGTTTTCAGTCTCAAACCAGAACCTCAGCACAATCCTGCACTGCATCACAAGAGAAAAATAATTCTTTAGCACTGTCAGCAACAAAGAAGGATGTGTCTCTACAGAGTGAAACACCATGTCCTCCTCAATGACTGATAAAGCAGATGGAGATTTTTCAGGTAGAAATGGCTGAGAGTAGTTAGTGGGAATAAGTAACAGATACTGCATTCATGAATATTACTTTTTTGAAATCATTGTGACACCTCAGCATGCATATAAGACAAGGCAAAGGGCAGCAGAGACAATATGATCCTTTTTGATCTCAAGCCCTACCAGCAATTTATACGAAATAGGAAGATCTAATTATCTCCATAGCACAAGAAATAATTTAATCAGCGCCACAAAATGCTAATCATTCTGTATGTTTCTATCGCTAGAAAGAAAATCCTACAAGTTTTTGTATTTCATTAGTTGGGAGAGAAACAGTCTGTTCACCTCCATCAATGGCCTTCATAAAAGCTCCCCAGACTGCCCAACAAATGCTTTGTAAATCAAACCACAAGATAAATTTCCCTTTATCTATTATTTCTCTTGATGCTTCCACAAGAACTATGAAGTAAACACCTCTTGGATCCATTTTTCAGATAGGTAAAAAAAAAAAAAAACCACAAATACCATCTGCCGTCACTGGATCCAAATAACACCATAGAGAAATAGACCACAGGAAAATCCTTGCCTTTGGTTCTGAGTGCAGGATATGCTCTTGAAGTCATTAAAGTATCAAGGTACTACACTACTACTACTACTACTAAAGTATCAAATCACTACAACAGACAGGATCAGACAAATTGAAATCCATCATCTAGTACTAATACTACAACTTCTGAACAAACAGACCTGGGATACTCATTTGAGCCCATTTTAATCACAGATAGTTTCTCAGTCTTAGCAGTACTGACTATTCAGAAGTATCATTTGGGCAGTAGACAGCCATAAGATTCTTCATAATAAAAAAGGACATAAGCTTGAGTTCTTCTAAAAATAAACCAATTGATTAATTTTATTCTGAATAAGACAGAAAAGAGGAAATCAAATGACAGCAGGTTCGTGAAACATGTTATCTATTTGAAAAAAGACAATCAAAACTTCAGCTTCTTCATCTTCAAGTACAAAATAAGAGAAGAGAGGTTAGCTACAAACCTTCCAGCACATTTAAAAAAAAATCCAATTAAATAAAAGAATTGTATCAGACTGCTCCTATTTAAAAGTAAGATAGTAATTATTAACTCAATTCATCTCCATACCTCCAAAGAGAGCTCTCTGTGATGCTTCCCAGGTTGTAGTCGTATAGCTTTGTCAGAATTAGAATCACCTGAAGGCAAAAAAAAGAAATCATGGTTAGTCTCAAACAATTATAAACTTATAGAAGTGAAATGACCCCAGGGAGGACTTAAGATTCCTTTAATGGGTGCTTAAAATAACTGAATTAATTGTTATAAGTATTTGCCTAAACTGACACAGGAAGTATTCGCAGACAAACTGTTACAGAATACAAGGTGATTTCTGCTTCCTGTGGTACACTGCTTTCTGCTGTTTGATAAGCACTGAAATTATTCATCCTTTTCACAACTGTGCATGGATACAACCCATTGGTCTGTCTTCAAACTACTTTTGATTTGGTGGCTAATTTAAAAAAAAAAATAGGCAAACGATCATCCACTGTGGCTAGGGAGACTTAGACTAGATATCAGGAAAGAATCTCCATGAGCAAAGATCATCATTTGTATAGGCCACCCCAGAATATCTGCAGAGCCCCCATGCTTGGAGGCTGACAAAATCTAATTGGACAAAATCATGGCTGACATTATCCATAGCTGGTGATAACTGTGCTTTGAGGATGAGATCGAACTAGAGACTTTCAAGTGTCTCTAATAAGCAACATTTCTATGACTTTGGTGAAAAGTTTTAGAAACAGACAGAATGGAAACGCTTCCAGGTTTAGGAGTTTTATTAGCTCTTTTCATAAACAGTTTTTCCCTCCTGCCAAAACAGACACTTCTAGAATAAAATTATCTTGCCAGGGGGAGGTAGGCAATTTTAGCAAAAAGAATTTCCAGCAAAACATTTCAGGCTGCACTTTTGTTAATGTTCTAAAAAAATAATTACTGACTTTCAAGATGATGGGCTCTTTTAACAAGACCTACATTTGGGACAAACTACCAGACTGTTAGTATTGCTACTAATTTATTTTGCATTTCTCCCTGCCAGGTCACTGTATATCTTCTCCTCCATTTCCCATTAAAACTGCAGTAAATTGAAGAGGCACAACGCTTCTTATCTGACAAAACCCCTGATCTATATACCTCTACATTATTATTTTCAGCCTGGGTTCCTAAGAAACGAGGCTTACAGATGCACATTCCCCTTCTCCCTTGACAACTTTCACTTTCATCAGCCAATTTCAACTAATTTGGCAGAAAAACAAAGAACTGGAGGAAATTCAGTCCCTATAATCTCTGTGAAAGCTAGCACCAGCACAGCAGAGGAAAGGAACAGAACTCATCATGGTAAAAGCTGTCCTGCCTCTTACACATTGATAGCCTTGAACCAGCCACATGAGGAACTGGCTCTTTACCCAATATGTTCAGCATGAAAGAAGATACAGAGAATGTAAGCAAACAAATAGCTGCTGCAAAGGAAAAGTATAGGGAACAGATTATATACATCTGACAAGCACGTTTCTTCATTTCTACATCAGTTAAATCCCTCAAAGATAGGTAAAGCAAGGAAAAACTTCTTTACTTTGAGGGTGACAAAGCACTGGAACAGGCTGTCCAGAGGCTTGTGGAGTCTCCTCCTCTGGAGATATTCAAAACCTGTCTGGATGCTTTCCCATGTAACCTGCAATAGAGTGGTGGAACTAGATGACCTTCAGAGGTCCCTTCCAACCCCTACAATTCTGTGTAATCTGCACAAACACGAGTCACATGCAGATGATAAGGGAGACAGGAGAAGTACTTGGAAAAAAAAACCCAACATTTTACCAAGACAAGCTCCAGAAGAAAAGCACCCTCCCTCTTCACCTGCTCACTCCCATTTTAATCTCCTGCCTATCTTCCATCACGCCTACTTATTGCTTTATGTCTAAAATGAGATCCTCATCCTGTTATCCACAAATGACTGCCTAGAAACTCAGGCTACTAAAATACAAACCCCAGCAGGCAGAAGACATCTTAGTGAAACCATATAAATAAATAGCACCACAGGGAATTGGAGGCCATGGAGGAGTGACCCATGGAGGTGCCTGATGCCTGAGGTGCACAAGGGCTGGCCCTGCAGATATCTGAGCTGAAACCACAGCCTCTGACTCCTTGCAGCTCCAGGCCCAACTCAGCTCTGAGTCCTTGTGTGACTCTAGCTCCATCTCCAAGCATTGCATCCCTCACACAGGTCCCTACAAGCCCTGCCACACAGCAGCATGCTGCCTCCAGATCCTAAGGCCCCTGGAGGTGTGCTGCCCACTGGCACCAAGCCCACCATGACCCCCATGACAACAGCCCCACAACAAAGTGGGAACTGACACAAATACACATCTCCTTCAAACAGCCTCATGGTAACTCGTGCCCTACCCAGAGATTCTGAGGAGAGCTGTTAATGAGAGTGGCAGTGCATACACAACACCATGACTCCCTTCTGCTCCATCATCCCTGCTAGCTCTCAGCACCTGACTTAGATGTCCCCTCAGTCCCACAAAACACATCAACACCAGTGCCATCCAGCCAGGAGGTGCCAGCCTGCAGGGTACCTCTTTGAAGAGAAGGCCAATGTGCACAGTGCCAATTGCAGATGGCAGAGCAGCAGCAGGCACATACGTTTCACAAAGCCAATTAGGGCTTTATAAGTGCTAAAATTTCAATCTCCTCCCTCCCAGGAATGCTAATTGGTGACAACCAGGCAGCTGCACTCCCAGATCCAGACCACATTACTGCCATCCCTCACTCCTCCAAATGGATATCTAAACTCCCTACTTAACAAATAAATAAGAAATTAAGAGGGAAGAGGGTAAAGGAAGAGGAAAGGGGTGTGAGCATGAAAGCATGCAAGACCTTTCTAAGTAACTGCTCTCCTGATGAAAGATAGCAGTGAAGTCAGTGAAAAGTTTCAGTGCCAGCAGAGTAGAGACCTTCCATGTGATGTGTGAATTGCATCTACCTTCAGCTTTCAGCCTCCCTTGATCTATGAAGCAGCTGGACAGTTACAGAAAGTCGCTTATATCTTTTTCCAAGCCTCATCTTTTCTTGGCAAACTCATCCTTTGCTTGCCAGAGGAAATTCAGACTTAAAAGACCAAAGAATATTCCTCACTGAATATTTTGACATCTGGTGTTTTAGAGGCAGACCTGAAGATATAAGGCACAAAAACTTGGAAGAGAAAATAAGAAATCTTGTGGGATTTTCCTCCATCCTTTGCCACTAGTTGAGGTGATCTTGGGAAAATCGCAGAGAAGTCTGAAGAGACACACTTCCTCCACCTGCAATCCCAAGAATTAGAATCAAGCCTACTTTTACGGATTAATAAAATCAGCAATATGCAATTATGCTGGTGTTAAACAGATTTACTTGCCAGAAGTTACTCATTTTGACTTTTTCCCCCCCCAACTTTGAGGGAAGGTCACAAACCTCCAAATTTCCAGGAACGAAAATTTAATTGAGAATATTAATTTGCTCATTTGAAAAATAAAGTGTAATCAATGGCCCCAAAAGAATACGATAAAAATTAAAACAAGTGACAAAAAGAAAAAACAAAATTTTCCACCTCCAGAGAGCTGACATCTTTGTTCTTTTTTGTTTCACTCAGAAATTTCAGTGAAATCCACATCATCTCAGAGTACCGTATGTTCTCCTGTACTAATGTGTGAAAAACTGTATTTCCTCATAATTTTTTATATATAGCTCTAACAATTGTCCTGCAACCAGAAGTACTCCTTGACCCATCAAAACATGCTCATTGCAGCTTATACCACTAGAATCAAAAGTAATACTGCTATATCTTGACCTCTTAGTAAAATTAGGATACAGCCCCAATATTTAATATTTCTAAGCTAGTATTTGTATTTGACACTATGTTGCAGCATATATACACACACACACCAGTTTGTTATGCAATAGCTTAGACATCATCGCATAAATATCCTGTTTCCAGAATACAGACAGGCTTTCCTACAGGAACCTTTCCCACCTTTTGTGGATTTGTATCAGTTCCTGCTCATCTTTACACTGCTCCCTAGTTTGAGCAGACTCCTTGTGTTATTTGCTCTGATTCAAACATCAGTAATAGATCTCAAAGATATACATGCAAAACAAACAAGTCACTGGGCAGAAAATTAGTTATTTCTGCCTCAGGTTCAATATTCTTTTCCCCTTCACAACATTATTTGAATAACCTAATTCAAGGCCGTGATTTCAGTTATGTTTACTCTTTCAGAAAATATATTTCTCCTTCGCTGTTTTTGCTACTTTCATTTCTTTGTTATTTAGCCTGCAAAGGTTAGTTCATGTTTAAGATTGTTCCTTGTTATTTTCGTTTTTTTCCTTTCTCTGTGGCTGTCACTATGTAGTACTGAGGAACCTAATGAACAGAGACATGCATATTATGTTGTTCTAAATGTCAGAATATGGCTGTGAAGAAAGAGTAATGAAATGAAAAGTACTGTCTCACCTTTTTTTTTTTTTTTTATTTCCTCCTTTGTTGCTTTTTGTTATCTTTTTTTTTCTCTTTCTTTTCACTGAGATTGTTTTTCTCCCCCCTTCCTTATCACTTACCAACCAATACAACCAAATGAGAAAACTAGAGCCACAATAAATGGAAGCTAAAATCCCGTCTTCTGCCAGCTTTACTTTGAATATGGTTGCCTCTTCCAACTGCAGAGAAATGCAAGACTGTTCTGTTCTTCATTAAGAACAGCATTTGAAGTACGATTTTCTGCCATAACAGGCATGGAAATAGAAAGGGAAATCTTCATCATTTTCTGTGCTAACAGCCAAGAGCAGAAAAGATTTGATTTTGGGTTTATCGCATCCCCAGTGATCATACTAACCATGGTATAGCCCTGAGAATGTTTGCTTTTTTGAATTCTTTATGGAAAGTGAAAAAGCCCCAGGAGATAACAGGACAGAAGACACGACGTTTTAGCACACTCACCTGAAAAATGGCTGACTGACAGAAGAGGTACTTGAACTTGAATAGCCCTTTCCCAAAGGAAACCATTTCCCCATATCTATTCTAGCAAGAACAAGATACTGTAGGAATGTAAGTGGAACCCACCGTAATTCAAAATAGCATTTTCAAAGAAAATCCACTTTGTTGATAATT